GAGCAATGGAACGTCACCTGGAATGGTGCTTACAATGTTGCTGCCTGCCATGTTGTACCGGGTGCAGGTGCCCATGTGCTGTCCCCTGTGCGCAGCGGCCGGTGCTGCCCGGTGCCGGACACAGCCGGTCCCAGCCGGCTCCAGCGGCCCCACCGCAGGGCAGAGCTGAGCCCCTCAGCCACGGGCGGCGCCTCGGGGAAAGCCTGGGTAAGGAAGGGCAAACGGTGCCCGGCAGCCAGGGCTGAGGGCCCTGAGGGTGAGAAACAGCCCTGCGAGCCCCGAGGGCGGAGCGGGAGGAGGACAGGAAGGGCTCTGGGCGCCGGGCAGAGATGCCCCTGAGACACAGGGAGGGTGGACGTACGCTGCAGGAAGCTGCAGCCCAGAGACAGCCCACGCTGCAGCAGGTTTATCCCGAAGGACTGCAGCAACTGGGAAGACCCCATGCTGAAGCAGAAGAGTGTGAGAAGGAAGGAGCGGCAGAGAGGAGCTGCTGGCCACATTGCCCATCCTCCTGGTCTGCTTGGGTGACAGGAGGTAAAGGAGTCAGGAACGAAAAGTGAAGTTGAAACTGGGGTGACGGGGCAGGGGGAAAGTTGTTATTTTAGTTGGTGTTTTTGTTTTTCACTAGCTGAATCGGTAATTATTTTAATTTGCCATAGATCAAGTCTGTTTCACCTGTGATGTTAACTGGTAAGCAGTATCCCTGTCTTCAAGACCCAAAAGTTTTCTCATACCTGTTCTTCCTCCCCTCATCCCACTGAGGTGTGGAGTGAGCAAGCAGCTGAGTGGGGATTTTGCTGTTGGACAAAGGCAAGCCCACTGCACAGGCAGGGGCTGATTTAGGGAACTCGGATTGATGGCAGGCCAGAAATACAGAAATACACCAAGTGTGAAGAAGAAAAACTGAAACAAGTTAACAGTGTTTGCAAGGGAACAAATGGGTAAGAGAGCAACTGATGAATACATTATGAACTCGAAGGAGGTGATTTTGAATGCACAGTTCTGAGAATGTCTTCTTCTCATACAGAATGAGCAAAACCATGAAAAACAGCTAGGACAACAGAACCATTTGAAACAAGGAAAAAGCCCAGCCAGGTAAACTCATAACCTGGCTTACCTCTCAGTATCTGTATTAGCAGTAGACAGTTCCTGTGACATGTTAAGTGTCCGTAATGAGTGAAAGAAGTATTTCATCCAAAGAAAAAATCATAGGATAGTTGAAACATAATTGAAGGGATCAGAATATTAATTTTAAATATGACATAATTTCTGGACAAACAAGGAAGATTTCATCCCTAAATGTACATTTTCTGAGAGCTCCTTCCAGTGGGATTGAGACTGCAATTTTATTCAAGCCTGTAAGCAATACAGTGTATTACAAGTAACATCGGGACCAAAGTTCTTCACCAGAATTCAGCTTGAAAATAAAGAAGCCCCAGTAACCATGTTGTGTAATAGGATCAGTTTAACAACAACAGCACAGTCATTTTAGAAAGTGTACTCTGCAGATCTATTAAAGGCATAACTGAAGACATTGCTGCTGTGCATTCAAAAGTTCCATCAGTGCATTTCTCCTTGATTCCATATGACATGTTTCAGTTGTAAAAGGGATCTTGGATCATCATTCAAAATCCATTCTACTGAGACTAACTATAGCCTCCTAAGTTTTCTTTTGAGTCTTTTTCTTTGTTCAAAAAACTAGTTAAATGATAAAGAAATGCCCCTCTTGAAGAAAGACATTTGCTTCAAAAGTTCTGTGTGTTATATTACAGCTAGTTATGGGGAAAGAGTGGAGAACTCTGCTATGAATTCCCAGCTCAAGCAAAGACTGCCTTCTAGGAGCCTGAGCAAAGTCATTAGCCACTTTTCTCCAGCAGAAGTGAAAATGTAAATCCATACACGTGTAAAGTGCAGATGCAGGGGAACACACCATGGTTACATAGCATGACTAAAATGCTAAGTGCTAAGATTAGATCCCAGATACTTAAAGAAAAACTAATTTTCTTAGATTTTCAAATAGAAGAACAAAGCTTCAGCAAATTGAGTGTGGAAAAAACGCTCCACTGTCTCCACTCTCCAGCAAGCTGGATGAACTTATTTATCTCCCAAAGTACCAATTTCTATGGCTCTCTGCTGGAAAGCTGCTAGAGCTATAAGCAAACAGAAACTGATCCCGTTACTCAGAAGGAGCAGAGTATCTGAGAACAGGAAAATTATCTATGTAGGAGGTTTGCTGTCAATTTCAATAAATTATGCTGTAGAAGATAATACCAGAAATGAAAAAGTCCTCTTTAATAATAAACTCCATTTTAAAATGTATGTGTATATATTCAGTTTTATTTAGCTTTATACAATAAATGTGTAAGAGCTGCTAAGGAGGCTCAGAGCTGCTAAAAATCTGAAGTATGCTATTTTTAAAAATTAGATTTCTAAATTAAATTTAGAGCTTAATGGGGTCACAACTATCTTGGCTAGTCTTTGTCCAAATAAGTGCAAAAGAGAGACACACCATTTTTGGAAACTACATAGAAACCATTGAAACAAATTCTCTTCCCCTTGGGTTGCAAATATAATTGAAATTGTTAGTTTTAAGACAACTGGGTGTTCTGGAAGTAATGTATGGAAACACAGCCTCTTCAGAATTCAGATGTGTTTAAATTAGGTGTTTGGTCCTTATACAGCTTAAGGGGAGAAAAAGAGACTTTCGAGATAATGTTCAAAGGACCTAAGGTAGTATTTGCTCTTGTGCCACTTTCCACTGGAATCTCTCTGCATCCATAGATTACAAAGGGACCATCTGGAGCCAAATACCAGAATTTACAGTCATATAATAGGTATAGAAAATAAGGCAAAAAAAGACCAAGTGAGATTTGTGTCTTGTTCAAACTGACATCAGCAATTTCTTTCATTATTGCCAGAGTATTTTTGCATCATGTCCCATCTCCGTCTGTGGGAGAGGGAAAGGCCTTTAATAGCATCCATTGGATTTTTTATAGAGTATCAATTTAAGTACATTTTTTTTTTTTCCCTTGAGCTTTAATCCTCCTTCTTTGACTTTTTTTATTCTTCACCTGGTGGAACCAGGCAGGAATGTATTATTGAAATGTTTATAGTTTCCTCCAGAAGAAAATAAGTAGAGTTAATGTAATAGATGTGTTTCAACATCTTCCACACTGCCACCCTGTGATGTGGCAATACCCTTTACTAAAGCTGAGAAAATGTAACAGTGTGTGTTGCAAGAAGTGTGGTGGATGGAGTGGCGCAAGGGTGTAGGAGACCTAAAATCTCTGCTGCTGGCCTTCCAAGGAACTTTGATGCACAAAGTCAAACAACTTTCTTGTTCTCCCTGTAAGTAAATTGAAGTTAAAGACACTGAGACCCACCTTCATGCTCTGTCCTGGGTTCAGCAGTAGCAGTCAATTTTCTCCTTCTTAGTAGCTGGTGCAGTGCTGTGTTTTTGACTTTCATCCTGGGAACAACACTGAAATAACAATAAGGGAGAAAACAAGGGAAGAGAATACAACCACTCACCATTCGCTAACCGATACCCAGCCAGACCCGAGCAGTGATCTAGCCCTTCCCAGTAACTGCCCCCAGTTTATATACTGCATATGACGTGCTGTTGTATGGAATACCTCTTTGGCTAGTTTGGGTCAGGTGTCTTGTCTCTGCTTCCCCTTGACTCTTGACTTCCCCTCCTCCCTGGCAGAGGATGAGACTCAGAAAGTCCTTGGTCAGAGTAAACATACTGAGCAGCAACTAAGAACATCAGTGTTATCAGCACTGTTCCCAGGCTGAAAGTCAAATACACAGAGCTGTACCAGCTACTAAGAAAGAGAAAACTGACTGCTACTGCTGAACCCAGGACATGCTCTTTGACAGAAGACCAAATGTTGTCACAGTTTTATGATAGCCTGAAAAGTTAACCACCATTGAAAGATCAGTTTCTGTCTGGAGGAGAATCCCAGGAAACAGACATCAGGCTCTTCATTGTATGTCTTTTTTTAATGAAGGAACAAGCAGCTTGAGGTAACAAGCCCTTTCCAAGAAAACTAATATTTAATATAATTAATTAATTCACTACTCACCTTGGTAAAATCAGGCATCGAATATTAAAACCTAAATTATTCTTTAAATTTAATTTTGACTTTTTAAATCAGAACTTTCTGGGGCTTCTAACAGTTTTCACTGTGTTTTTATACACCCCCAAAGGTACTAAAATTAGAGACCTGAGGTCCTTTTTATAATCTGTGAAGAGAAAGTAGCATTTCAGACTGAAATGGAGCACATAAGTTAGACACCTGAAAAAGTGAACTGACTTCAAACAGTAGTAACACAGGGGGCTGACAGATACAAAGAAGGGGTTTACAGACTCACCAGCCACATTCTTTCCATGTGATGGCATTGCCCTTGCAAAGCTCATATGCACCTGAGGTGCTTAGGACAAATTAACACAACCTGAGATCTCTGTGGATCTGGAACCTGGCAGTGGGTTCCATCAGCTAATGCCACACTTCAGAACAGAGGACAGTTTGTCTCTAATTAGGATATATTTTCTTCTGAAGCAGAGAGCACTTCTTGCTGACAGCACCCAGATCTAAGACCAAGGAAGAACTGAACGTTTAAACTGAATTCCTTCTTCATTTACATCAGGTAAATCTCTCAGTGAATCTTTACATTGATGCTGGCACTGTGAATGTTAATACTGTACCTGCTTCAGGCTGGATGCCAGTCTAGAAAATAAATCCATGGCTAACTGATGCTCCAGGGAGTAATTTCAACTTTGCAAAAGGTACTCTCAGTCATCATCTTGAAAAAAATAAAACAACTCAAACCTCAAACATTCAATTGTCTGTATAGCAGGCGTTTGAAAAATCTTGTTGTTGTAGGCAATAACTGTAACAAAGAACAGAATTACTGCTTGTGGAGTAGGAGGAAAAAAGTTCAAAATAAATGAATACTACTCATCGGTTCCAACAGCCTTTATGAAAAATCTGTTTTCTGACTCCAGAGAACCTCTAATCAACTAACAGAGAAGCATATGCTCTATTTTAAGCTGTGCATAATGTAATGGATAGCTATAATTACTTCAATAGAATAAGAACAGTATCAGTCAATACGTACTGTAAGTCATGCAAGTTAGTTATTTTTTCAGCAGTTGGAACAGACAGCTGATCATGTTTGTTAATATTTCACGTTCATAATTATATTTATTTATCTACTTACAAACTGGTATGAAGTGCTACTTTCCAGCCAAATAAATCACAAACTGTAGATAACACAAACATTGTACAGAAATATGAATTACACATGAATAGGATACAAACATGAGAGGGATGGGGGACAGAAAGAAGTGCTCACTCTTCATGATTTAAACCAAAATTCATCCAAAGGCTTGCAAGTCTTTGCTGCATGTTGTATACACTGTAACATATCCACCTAGTTTAATATTTGCCAGGAAAATCACAAAGCCCTCTCAGGCTACAGCAGCATATAATCTCCTTGAATGTTTTCCTGAGCTCCTGACTCCGGAATGCATAGATAAGTGGATCGATGATGGAATTGCACATGATGAGAATGAGGTAGAAGTTAAAGTGGGACATGAAGCACACACAGTAAGGGTTGTAGGGGCAGGAGATGTAGAAAATCAGATGCAGGAAAAATGGAGCCCAGCACACAACAAAAACTCCAATCAGGATGGTGAGAGTGATGGCTCCTTTCATGTTGGCCCCTTGGCGAATAGGGCCAGTCCCTGGAAGAACAGCAATCTTTTTGATATGTGTTCGAGCCATCATAAACATGTGGACGTAGAGGGATGCCATGAGAATGAGCATAGTGAAGAACATGCTAATAAGGCAGATGATGACAACACTGCTGTCAGAATAAATGATAAACAAAATGCCTGAGACGGTGCAAGCAGCCCATATGCATGTGATGATGACCCCTACGCGCTTCACCGTCATGATATTATGGTACTGGAGGGCATAAAATATAGTAAAGTACCTGTCCACTGCTATTGACAGAAGACTGCAAATTGATGCAAGCAAGGAACTGCAAATCACTGAGTCAATAACATTGTCAATGTTTATGGTAAAGCTCTGTGCATCTGTGTCTGTATTGTTTAGCAGCGTGATGACAATAGTTTCTGATCCATTAGATACACTCACTAGCATATCAGCCACTGCCAAGCTACAGATGAAGAAGTACATGGGTGAGTGGAGGTTCTTGTTCTTGGCTATCGCCACAACGACCAAGACATTCTCCAGCAAGCTGATGATGCCCAGAGTCACAAACACTTCAGGGGATACAAAGAGTTGCTCATAGCAGCCTCCTGAGGAATGGCCCTTTCCATTCAGCTCGCTGGCACTTCCATGCAGTCCATAGCTGTGGTTCCAGAAATGGAGAGGCTGGAGTGTCCCACGGTGCTGGGTGAAATTCATCTTATGGAGATCCACTTTCAGCTTCCTGCTTTTAAAACTCCTGGTCCCTTTGCATTCCTTTGAAAACCTTCTTTGCCTTTTCAGCTTGGGAAGCAAATTAAAATAGCTAGCACCAAGGCAGGCAGCAATTCAGAAGACTTTGACTGCTGTTGCAAAATAACTTTTCAAACACAGAAATTCTGATTTACTTTCTCACAGACGCAGTTTCTAATCATCATCGCATTTACCTTGGTGATCTATGTCACAGAGTCCCAACAGTCTGTTATTTTGCATCAGATTCTTCGCTATGGTTAGATCCCATTTAGTTCACTGGTAAGCTGCAAGACTTTTTTGTTCCCTTCCATTAAGAGAGGCAAACATAAAATGCCCAAGTGACAGCTGCAAAGCAGAAACTAATTTCAAACTGCAAGCACTGGTCTCACTGTCAGACAGTGCATGCCAGCTGCCTGTTTTATGGTGTGTGGAGGAGAAAAATATTCGGGGCAATCCCCGCCTCTGCTTTGCCTTCTAGCCAATCAGTCTGCAGAGCCGCAGAAAGCAGAGGGGCTTCTGATTCTGCAAATCTCTGAAATGTCAGACAGCGCAATAGATTTGGATGCAGCGTGAGCTACCAGCAGCTGCAGGAAAGCAGAGGGGCTGCCGGAGATTTGTTTCTCTTCTTTAACTTATCAGAATAGTATTTTAATACCGATTTTTAGTTAGCAATAATACAGGACTGTACTAGCAATCTTACTGCATTCCTGCAGCTGAACTGATCACTTTTCATTTTTCAGACTGTGATTTACTCCTGCCCCTTCTGGGGCACACAGGTGCTCTGCCTTGAAAGACAAGGAAGCAAGAGAATACTTATTTCCTCTCAGTTCTGTCTCCCAGATCTCCTTTGCATTGCTAACTTTTCTATGCCTTAGTTGTCATTTGCAAGATGTGTTGTTACAGGGTTGCATTATACTCTCTAAGCTTCTTATAATTTTAAAGAAATTGAGGCTATATAAGGACCAAAACCAGAAAGGAGCTAAAGTCACAAATGGCGTCATAAATTTTCCTAAGAAAGGAGTTTTCCCAAGGTAATAGCCTTCTTCATTGTCTTATTTCCAGGAATGAAAAGATGATGCAGTTGCAGAAGCCCTGTTGCTATCAGGAATTAGAATGTTGGGCAGAAAAAGAGAAGTCAGTATTTAGAGCAGATGAAGGAAAGCAATGGGAGACAAACTTGCATTCTGTAAGAAATGGGGCTTATCCAATGGAAATGACACAAAAGCATCAATAAACCCCTTAAAAATCCACCCAGAGGGATGTCCTTGTGCTTACCTGGAATGAGCTGAAAGGCAGCTTGTGTGCAGTATTTCAGGGAAAGCCCTTGAGAAGAAGGAACAGAATGCCAAATGAATATGAAAAGACAGGGACAAAAGTTGCTTTACTGTTTCCTCTTCAAGCATTGCAATTGAGGATTGAAAAACAAATTTACTGAGCAAAGCCTAAAGTACCAGTGTGTTTTAAAGGTATGGAAGCTATAGGAAAGTCAGTCATTACACCTGAGAGTAATGTTTGCAAGGAAGTTGTTTCAATGAACAGTCCCAGTCAACTACCAGGAAGGCTGTGGAGAAGTCTGTATCTGATGCAAGAGACTATTTTCTTCAACTTCTCAAACTTTCTATATCTTCTATGCTTTAGCTGATTTTAAGATGAGCAGCAATTAGGAACATGGCATGTATGTGGAAGCACAACTATCTATACTCAACATCCCAGTACCAGGGTGAATTGTGATTTTCCTTTTACATTTGGATCTGCTATAGATCTATGGTTATAAAGACCTATATGAGCAGAAAAGCCTCAGCCAATTATTTCTGGACCTTTCCCTAGACAGATTGCTTTATAAAGCTGAAACATAAATATCTAAGGCAAACAAAACAACTTGCAGCGCAGGAAATCCCATATTTATCATCTTGGAAAACATCTCTCACCAGCAGCATCCTTGCAAGGAAGGAATAGCTTGCTGCTGAGAGTGTGAGATTTACTTTCCTATCAAGACATAATGTAAGCCAGGATTCAAAAAGATTTATTATCTAGTTACTGATCCCTGGGCCAGTATACATTAACTCCTGCAACAGACAGGACTTACATGCCTAACCCTTAAGCACATAGCTATAATGTGAGATCAGTGAGAAGATTTATATCAAGACTGATGTGGGAGAGCAGCATCTCCCCAGACAAAGTATTTTTCTGTACCTGCAGCCAGAAATGTGCAATCTTCAAGTTATGCCAGGGAAACAGCCAGTCAGTGTCCCTTCCTCCATAACTCCCCTCCATGCTGGAAGCGCCGTGGTATAAGGATCTCTCCCTTTCACCTACTTTGGTGATGCCAGGGCAAGAGAAGCTGGCAAAAATAGAGAGGAACTACCTCCAGCCGATACTGCCCTATTTGCTCCTGATGTCTGTCTGTCTACCCCTCTTTTGCCTTTTCCTTTCTCTGAACATTGTCCCTGTTCCCATCCCCATTTTTCCATTTACTATGTCTCTTCACCCAGAAGCTATCCAGATACTTTTCTGTGCTTGATTCTTCTCTGGATGTGGTCATAAAAATGCAATAGCAGTTTATAACCAAGTAAAGAAAAGGACACTTTCCTACCCACAGCCATCGTTCACCTCAAAAATTTTACTTATGCTCTGTATTCTTGGGTCAAATTTGTTTTGGTGTATTAGCCATTCATATTTGTGGGATGACAGTACATGACTGGAAGCAGTAGACTTATGGTAGCTTAGCAACTCAGTTGAAGAGGTGATATACTATTAGCATGCTCTGACTAGAAAGTAAAACAAGTTACATGAGCACTTTTTAAAATGAGAGAAGATATATGTACGTCTAAATGCTTCTGTGGAAGAAAATGGATACATGTCTCTGCCTCCCACTTACCAAAAATCAAACCATATAATGTTAAAATCATTCAAAGGATCCTAATTCTCTCATGCCTGAAAATATGTTAATATTTCAGTCTCTTTAGTCATAGATAGCAGGAGTATTGCCTAACATATATTGCCTAAAATGTTTCTTAAATTTTAAAAGCAAAACCTGAGCTATTCTATCTTTCACGAGTGGAGGCTGGCAGTCTTTTCAGCACCATGGAAAACCAGCTATGGCTGCAGAAAATCATAAACTGGAAAGAATGATATGCAAATATGAGGTCCAGCTCTTACAAGAAATGAAAGATCCATGAAGATTTTTATACCAGCCTCCCCTTTTAACATAAAAAAAAGTCCATTTAAAAAATTCCTCCTACACAATTCCCTCTTGTCCTATGTTCTGTTTCCAGCTATAGCTACTCCTGGATGCCCATCCTCCAAATAGGGTTTAGCTATCTTCACCTCACAACATTTAAAGAGCCTAATTATTTTCTGACAGTTTCTTTTGAAACTCAGAAGAATTCATTCACTGGAATCAATAATAAACAGATAAGGTCCCAGTAGTGATACAGGAAGATGGGCACAGTCATAAGCAGTCTCTATAGGTCTACTATGGAAGAAAACGACAAGTAGAGGAAGTTAGCACAGGCACTTCCTGGCTCAAATGCACAGTCTGAGATCTGTTTGAATTCTATGTCTATATTGGTCAAGCAGGGAGATGGTATTCACCACTCCAACGGTTGTCAGTGAAAACAGAAGGGGTTGTGAAAAGCATAGTAGAAGGAGTACCCAAACAAACAGATTATTAACATTCAGTCATTCCTGAGAGTTGTGTGTGTGTGCCAGCGCTGTGCAAAATGTAAATGTTTCATTTACATGTGCAGGCATAATCAAAAGAAGTTTTTGTCACATGTGCTTGATCCAGTTTTTCAGTGTCCATAAAGCAGTAAAAAAGACTGTAGTATGCTTTAGCATGCCGAATTTGAAATACAAAATGAGCTGAGCAATTTAGCTTTGGAAGCTCCTACGAGATTTTAGGCTGCGTCATATCTCTAAACTACAGCAAAGGTAAATTCCTCCTAACTCTCAAAATACTTACCAAAAATGGCTCAAATAATGCAATGTACTTTTCCATCCTTCCCACAGATGTCATTGGAGGAAACATTTCTTTGATTCTTTCTAGCTCTAGTAAATTAGCATGTGATCGATACAGAGACACTTGTTTGTTCTTGTGATTTGGATTGGTAGCTTTTTTAAAGTAGGTTCTTGAATGTATTGTTTTATTTTCCAGCAAGTCTGATATATGCATGAAAAGACATATCAATACAGACCTGATTATCATAAACTTCAGGTGCTATCCTGTTTAAATTTATGATGTTTATGATGAAATATAGGATACAGAGAGAGCTGACACTGATTTTGGGTGAAGTAAAGGTAATGTCTATTGCCGATAGATAGATAAAAAAATCCACACAGGAAAAGGTCACTAGTTCGGCAGTATAGAATTTGAGATCTCTATGTGTAATGTTACTTCACAGGCAAAAATATGATTGTAGACCAAAAAATTACTATTCTTTGTGCTTGTACATACACGTTCTAAGACTGTGTAATGAATCGGTGGGGTTATTAGTCAATCGAGAATAAATTGTGGAGTCAAGCTTCTGTTCAGAGTCACAAAGATGTTGGTTGGATTAGACTTCTGGAAGTCACCTCATCCAGCCTCTGCTTTGAATGGGATTACCACCAATACTGGATTAAATCAGCTGTGGCTTTGTCTATCCAGGTCTTGAAAACTTCCAAGAAAGGAGATCCCACAACCTCCCTGGATAACCTATTCCTGTTCTGCATTGCTTTCCCAGTTAAAAAGCTTTTCCTAATCTGAATAAAAAAAAAAAAGACTATTTTACACACTCTACAGAAGGGGCAGAGGAAGCTGCACTGGTAAAGGTTGTTGAAGAGAATGCTAAAGTGTGATCTAATAGATTATTCGAGTTTAATAGCTAATGGAAAAGAAGGTACAAAACTTATAGGGCCAAGCTCCTTTTGGTAGTGCCAGGGAATACAGAAAAAAGCAATCACAGGTTGTGGTTTGGTTACACAACCTAAGCTCCTGCCCATGATGACAGCCCTTCAATGAACCATCTTCAGTTTCTCCACATCTCTCTTGAACTGCAGGGGCCCAAAGTTTAACATTGTTCCAGGTACAGCCTTGTCCATGGCAGGTAAGTGGGGATAATAACCTACTTCAATCTGTCAGCTGTGCTTTTTCTAATTTGGAAAATTATTTCTTATATTCAAGTTGACTTCCAATGTAACCCTTCTGCTGTCCTTTTCAGTAACACTGTAACTCAAGCAATCAGCGCCCATTGCGTAGTGATGCATGGGGCTGTTCCACACATGCAAAGAACTTCGTACTTCTTGTTCACTTTCATAAATATTCTGTTGGCCCAATACTCATGTCTCCCAGCATCCCTCTGGATCAAATCTCTGCTGTTTAGTGTGTCCACATTCATCCTCAACTTACTACAATCTGCAAATTTGTGGATGGTACATTCTTTATCAACC